TGGGTTTTCCCCCTATGTTTTTTCCCTGATATGCAGTAACTGCTCTGCAAGTCTTGAAAATTAAAAAGAGAGTGAAGTTCGCATTTGCTCAGTTAAAGAATTTTATCAATGTATAATAACAAACTTTTGTTTGTTTTATAGTGAGACAAACCAGAAACACATCACAAATTTCATAAAAATGCATTGGTAACACTCGCTGCTATTGTTTTCCCACCAAAATGATGTCACTTCCTCTGAGGATGATGTCATTAGTGGGCTTTAGTTTGAATTTACAAAAGACTTGGGGAAAAAACAGGATGGAAGGAGATATTTGTGGAATAAAAAAAAAAATCTTTGAAACAATGAGAATGAAAAGTATGAAACACTTGGAATGTTTAAAACATTTCAAGTTTTTCCATGTTAGTAAAATAAAGTTAATTTGGTCTTTTAGCTGGCCATTAGCATACAAATACCATCCAAAGCAGTGATATGTGTTAAAAAATAACTGCTATATTCACTTAATTGTAATATTGTTATAAAAAAATCTTTTGAAATTGAAAAGTTTAATATGTTAGCCTAACTAAATAAATATCTGGTCCATTTTTCAAAAAGTGGAAAAACTGTACATTTTAAATGTGTAAATAAGCTGATTTTTTATTCATTTGTAATACTGTGATAAAAGAAAATGAAAAAACGATTTCCATATTTTTTTCTATAATATAATATAATATAATATAATATAATATAATATAATATAATATAATATAATATAATATAATAATATAATAATATTATAATATATGTCCAGTCTTTAGTAATCTGAAAAAGGACCAGATATAAAATATTATTATTTTAAATACATGTTAATTTGGTCCCACACAGGACTAAAAGCTGCAAAACCCCAATTCAGATTTGATGTTGTCTTGGTTTCATGGCTTGATTTCACAGAGACATGAACACGCAGTGCACAGGGGGAATGACCCAGGTGTGCTGTGTTTTGTTGTTTTCCGCTTGATATCACCAGTAAATTGAAAGAACTTGCTCCGAAAGTCAGCAGAGCATCAGAGCCAATGCTTTCACATGTTCAATCCAAAAGAACATCAACGTCTAAAGGGAGACTGCAGTTTTGTGATTAGCGTCCAGGTCGGTGTGATTTACTCGAGACCTGGACAGTCTCCATTCTCGGTTCTGCCAGGTTTCCACACAAGCTTGCTACTTTCCTTCCCTGATTTACGCAGCTACTGCGAGCAGCTGGAAGATTTTTGCCGCTCTGGAGTCGAAGACTCGCTTGATGGAGAGCTCATTCAACGGGCCTTTAAATCCAGGAGGGAAAGATAAATCCTGGGCACTGGACTGAATACTCTCCGGAGTGGGAAAATTAAGCTTTCAGCCAGTAAACGTGTGAAAAAAAAAAAAGGGTAAACGCCTGAAGAGGGGCAATCAACTGAATATAAGATATGAGGAAAAGAATGTCATCCCTTTAATCATTTTGTTGATGATTAAAGAGAGGAAGTCATATATTAAAGCTTCAGGCCGCGGGTACAGTGTGAGTTAAACTGTGCGAAATGAGATGCTGAGAATTCAACAGAGAGTTCACTAGTGTTTGATAAAGAAAGGTTGTTATGCAATGTTACACTTGCCCTTGCTGTACCGTTCTGAGTCATGAAATTGATAGAAGAAAAAAAAAAAACTAAGAGCAAAACCATCCACTGGAAAGAATACAGTACCGAGTGACACGAAATAGAGAATGAAGGAGAGAAACCGAGAGAGGGAGTGACAGATATTCAGAAACAGGCACCATGGGACCATCTTAAGGAGGCCATTTTACCCTTTTAAATGAAGGGTGAAGGAATGGGGAAGTAAAAAAAAAGAAGCTTGGTTCCTCAAGAGACTCAAATCATGTCTGATTGAGGGGGAGTGCTGGCAAGCAACGCTAGCAAAAATGAAGCGAGACTCTCAAGGGCGACAGAAGCTCCGTCATTTCCAGTTGACCCGCAAGACCTGCTGGACACGTGCACTGCTACAGCATGAGGATGCGGTGACAGCTCGGAGATTTGTTCTGGCACAGCGCTTTCAGTTTCACCAAGTGATTATATCCACTCAACAAACAGCCGTTTGGGATCCGTCAGCGCTTAGATTCAAGCACGGCAGATAAAGATGTCAAAAGTTCTGGGTCGGTTTTTGACGTGCGTTTCCTTATGCCGGCTTCAGACTACACAATGTTTTTTTTTTTTGTTAAGATAGTCACTGTGTCAGATTATGCATTTTTGACTCATAGGGCCCTTTCATACACACCTGGCGCAATGCGGCACGACGCAAGTGTTTTTTGCTAGTTTCAGCCCGACGCAGTTATCATTTTTACGTCCTGCTTATATAGCTAATTCATTCGCGCTCATCTGTCGCCCATGGGCTGCTGGTCTGAAAACGAGGTGTGTTCAGGCGCATTGTTGGTGCGTTGCTATTTTGAGGGAACTGAAATAGACTGCGCCATTGACCAACAAAAATCTGGTCTAAAGTCAATGGCACAATACTTTTTTGTTACGAGCTGATCCGTTTCCTCGCTTGAGAAGCGTTCAGTTGTTCCGCAAATTCCTCCATGTAAATAGCGAATACGCCATGGCACGAGCGCAACTGGCTTTTAAAGGGAATGGGAGATAAGACTCTGATTGGTTTATTGCACGTTACGCCCAAAACACACCTATTACTCATTAAGAGAATAGGGACAACCCTTTTAGACCATGCATCGGGTCGGGTGCACCGACCATTTTTCCCGTCGTTAAACTAGCAAAAGTGGATTCGCACACTCCCTAACTGCATTTGCGCCGTGCGCTTTAGACCATTAGCTTAGATCGTTAAAATAGGGCCCCTAAACTCTTGAGGTGTCGTGGACAAGACACATGTCAGACTACACGTTGCTTCCCGACCAATCATTGCTTGCCGTCTTTAACAACATGCGTGATTTCATCGAGAAGGCGGAACTAGCGACTGACTTCCTAAAAACTAGAGCGTAAACAAACAATGGTTGTACTAGCTTAATGCTAATTCCAGTACTTGCTGAAGCTCCTCTGCTATCGTTCGCAAGCATTTATCTTTTTTCACTCAGTCATAGTAGTCACTCAAAGAAACATCATAAAGTATTGTTGCCATCGCTCCATTAACCTTTCCAAACTTGCAAAGATTCCAGATGTTTGAAAGCTGTGTACAGAAGAGCTTATGTGCTCCTATAGACCAATGTCACAGATGTGAAAGAACCCGTTGTAGAGGACCAAAAAAAATTAAACATGCTAGTTTTTCTGACGTGAAGCGTCGCAGACACGGCATCTGTTGTCATCCACTATGACACTCTATACCAGATAAATCGATCGATTCTTACGTCCCGTCGCACAAACAGATTGTGGCTGATATTATGTAATCTGAGCCCGGCATTAAAGGCTTATTCAGTGACAATGACTAAAAAAAACTGAATATGTGAAGACTTTAATCCAATCTGCAGGAGTAAAGGACAAGAGCCACTTGCTAATCTCAAGGTTTAGCCACTCGATGTTAGAAACCTGTTATCAATACTGTCAAAATGTGAATTCCATTTTCCATATTAATAAGGTCTGGCATTCCACATTATATGAAGAGGATCTATTAAGTAACTATAATTATGACCTGAAAGGATTAATAACACACTGGGACATTCATATTCTATTCGGCTAGGAAAATACATCACTCTGTGTCCAATTATTGGCTTTTGCTTGAGCTCAAGTACAATTAACACAAAGAAGGAAGCATTTGCATATGGTAATTATGTAAAAATGCCAGCTTTCTGACACATTTGAACAAATGTCGAGCTTTAGAACTTGTGAGAATCCAATACTTGATATAAGAGAGGTTGCCAGCCATTAAGTGAAAGAAGAGATTAGCACACAAATGCTTAAAATATGCAACTGAAACAAACGTACAAATGTACCTTGCATGCTAACCTTATTACCCTGCAAAAAAAGGTTGCTAGTTTGTCTTTGTTGATTGCTCATCAGAAAGCTCATTAAATCAGGATGCAGATCTTTTTACAGATCTTTTGCAAGACAAAATGATTCTACAAACCTCCACCATGAATCTCTTCCTGATGGATGACCAGCCAATAAAGGGGCAATTCACCCAAGAATGTTGTTTCAAACCTGCATGGCTGTTTATCAGACTCTCTCTCTCTCTCTCTCTCTCTCTCTCTCTCTCTCTCTCTCTCTCTCTCTCTCTCTCTCTCTCTCTCTCTCTCTCTCTCTCTCTCTCTCTCTCTCTCTCTCTCTCTCTCTCTCTCTCTCTCTCTCTCTCTCTCTCTCTCTCTCTCTCTCTCTACAAAGGTAGAAAAATATATATCTCTTTTGTGTTTTGCAGAAAAGAGAAAGCCATACAGGTTTGAAACAACAAGAGGGTTAGTAAATCGTGACAGAATTTGATTTAAGGGTAAAAAAAATACTAGGAGAAATGCCATTTATACATTTGCATTATGCAAAATATGCAAAAATAACAACAAAATTGCATTGCAAGACTGCACTGAATGCACTGACACGACTAGGCAGCAGAAAATGTTGCTAATTTGCCATTTGCAAATGCAAATTTTGCTTTGTTGACCACTGAACAGAAAACCCCATCAATGACAGGCCTTTTCCAAGAAAATATTACTGTACAAATAACCAAAATGAATCTATTCCTAAAGGCTGCAGAAATGGCTAGACAGCATGTCACGGACTAAAAGACCTACTTCAATAACTAAATATGTCACAGAAAATGTAGAGGCAAATATTTAACAAAGCGCTTTGACAAGTAGACCCTACGGACACTGACAATACACAGACTAAAAAGAGAGTTTCATGGCAGCTTAGCAAGTTTTAACAGCCAGATGAGCCAAACGTGTCACACTCAATCCTACAAGGCATGGTTTCGCAACAAAGACGAAGCACAGTGCTAAGTAAGGCAACATCTTTACATGCTCATGTACATCATATTAGTCATTAGAACATCTGAAATGCATATCTTACCTTTAAGCTGATCTGCAACCACACTTGGTCCGATCCTTTCTGTGACTCGGCCGTCTTCTCGCAAGTACCCGGTCATCCAAGAACTTGTCTGTGGCTTCCGACAGGTGAACCTTCCCGGCGACACCCAACTGCTCCATGAGATTGGCTAAGTTGACATCATTGGACCAGACATCAAATTTAAAACGCTTCATGCCGAGGATCCCGCAAAGCACGGTGCCCGTGTGGACGCCGACACGCATGTTGACCATTTCCTTTTTTTCTTGACAGAACTGCTCAATGGCCTGGATCATCCCAAGCCCCATCTCCACGCAGCAGTAGGCATGGTCCTCTCGAGGCTCGGGACAACCGGCCACACAATAGTAACAGTCTCCCAGCGTGCTGATCTTCTCGCAGCACGTGAGCTCGCACAGGTGATCGAAGCGTCCGAATAAGTCGTTGAGGAGTCCCACCAGGGCATGCGCCGACTTGTTGGCACTCATCTTGGTGAATCCCACTATGTCTGCGAACAGGATGCTGACCGGCTCCATGCGTTTCATGTTGAAAGGCCGAAAGATGATCTGACCCCGAGGTATCGAGGTCTTCTTGCGTTTGGTGCTCTTAGGGCTGGAGGCACCCGCAATAGCCGCTCCCGTCGAGTAGCGCTTAACCGAATTGTCATTGTCGTCATCGCCCTGCTTCATAAGCTCATCCGCCACCCTACGAGGCATCACTGAGTGAATCATCCGCTCCTTCAGGGCCTTTTCGACCTCCAAGTCTTTCCCATGCATGATGGCCTGGCCGACCTTGAGGAACGTGCTGCGTGAACGCACTTCAGACATAATGAAAAGGTGAATACCAATGATGTGGGCGCAGACATGCAAAATGGCTCTTCCAGGGATCAGCCAGTAGAGCGTTTCCAAATGTTCCTCAGTGGAATTCCTCCATCCATTGGCTTGAATCAAGTGCATCCAGCCAAGCGTCTCAAAAAGCACAGAGTAGAGCAGGCCTAGCAGTAATGAAGCGTAAAGACGGACATGGAGGAAACTGTAGAGCAACGAAAGCACCTCCATGCCTAGAGAGAAGGTGCCAACTGGGGACAAACAGGGGGCTACTGGATTTCCACTGCGGGTGGCTTCAAACGTCATGTTTTTATCCTCCGCGCCACTGAAGTCGCCTGGATCATCTTCATCCTTCAAAGGAGGCACATTAAAGTCACTAAAGCCTGACGTTTGGATCTGAGGTGCAAGAGTGAGGGCAAATGTCACTACAATGAGCAACAGCGAGGCTTGATTGTAGCAGTGGGTGTAGAAGCGGGTGAACGTGAAGACGAACAGGACAGAACAGAGGAGTAGGAAGGAGGCCGTGGGCAACAAGAAGGCAGTCTGTTCACATCGGTTAGCATTAGCGATGAAGAACAACCCCCAGAGGAGGCTGGCGGCCGCCATGTAAAACAACACACAGCGGAAACGTCTTTGCGTCTGAGGGAAGCAGCGCTCGCGGCAGGCTTCCTCCAGAATGTTTGAGTCGAACTTGGGGTTCCAGAAGTGTCCAGCCGACCTCTCAAACAGCTGCGGCATCTTCCTCTGAGACCTGAGGCCTTTGATAACCGACTTGCGGATGGTAGATTCGCCCGAGCTACAGCTGGAGGAGATACTGTACTTGCAATGTTTGGAGCCCCCAATGATACTACACATGGCGCTGGCGCCCAGACTCCCACGCTGCTGTTTGTGTGGTTTGGTGCTGCTGATACGCACAGACACAGCACCATCACCACCGGACTCACAGCTTACTTCGCTGTTGTGATACAGCAGATGTTGATGTTGAGGGGAAGCCATGATCAGAGTTGAGTAAATGCAAAAGAAAAGGTACTCGGATGGAAAAAGAATCAAGTAATTTGAGTCAAACAACTCTGACGTCTAGATGGCAAATGGTTTACTCATGCATTCAGACAGTTCCAGGATTTTAAGTTCGGTTATTTCACCTCATGACGTCAATAGCGCATTCCTCTTCTTTTCTGTCCTTCTTGACGCACATGGGTTTAGAGAGGTTTATCAAAAATGCATGGAATCTTTCAACTTACTACAAGTGAATCAAAATGTTCTTCCACTAGTTAATCAAAGTTACATAATAACACCAAAATGAAGGCTCAAGTCAAGCACTGTTTGCTTTGACTCCTAGGGGAACTTCTTAACTCCATTCTGATGCCAAATGCACCATTTTCACTATAAATCAGCCATAGTGAACTACGGTACCATTTAAAGGACTGTCATGCATGCTTGCATGCTTTAAGTAAGTTATGGTATTTCTCATATCCATCACAGTCCATGCATAAAAAAGTAAAAAAAACTCTTGATGAAATAAACAAACATTCAAAAAGTCAAACTTCAAGAAGGAAAGGAGTCTAAACTAAAAAAGCATGATTTGGTTAAACATTATTTAGGCTACTTCACAAGAAAAATAATCCGGTATAGTAAAGCTTCCCCCCTCTTTTGTTCTTTAGATTCAGAATACGTGTTCATTGGGGACTCCGCGTCATCTCAACCGGACATGAAGGGCACAACAGAGACTGCTGTCAAAAACATTAATAAAATAAAAACACATTTAAAAAAAAAATCATCTAGTTTCCCTTGGCTGTAGCACCGACCTTTCCTGAGTTCCCACTCCAGATCTTGCGGGCGCTTTTATTCCGAATTATCGGGTTTAAAAATCATGAAGATTGCGCACATGGATTAACGCCACAAAATCGTATCATTCAAGGTGCAAAAATGGCTAAATGTCCAGTATATTCCCATAGTCTCAAAACACTATGATTTTATTTCAGGTTAGGCTGCTTGAAATCATCTTAAGCCATTTATATCAATGCATGTAAAACTTCAGTGCTTCAAATGAAGAATGAATTCACCTTGTTGGTCAGAATTCAGTTAAGTTTCCATTTATTTTACAGAGGCAGAAAGTCTGCACTTCTCTCTCTCCAAAGACTCGCAGTGCTAAAGTGCCTCTTTGGTTTCTCTTCAGGACTCATTTCCACGGGCAGCTTTTCCTGTGATATCCAAACAAATCTCTTTCTCAGCCGGTTCCTCTATTTTCCCCATCAGAGCTCAGCTTGGCAGTCTTTACACATGCCAGTGTCTCCAGTCGCGCATATCATAGTCGACTTGTGTGTTCTCGCGCGGCTCGGGTGCGCCGGTGGCCATCAGACATCAGGAAGATCTCCATCTGTATTCGCAATCCGACGCGGTGTCTGTACAAGTCCAACAGACACTGGAAATAAATTTAGAGGTGGGGATAAACGCGTGCGTGTGCGTGCACGCTCCGGACTGAGAACAACAGAAGGGAGGCGAGCACGCATTCATATGGAGGTGGGCTGTTCTCAAACCGCAGTGTTCGCGTCCGAGCGCGTCACCGAGAGCTGTCAAAAGAAAAGGGGGTGGAGGTTCCAATCAATTTGATGTGTAATGCAGGAAAGGGGGGTCACAGCTGTCATATTGAGAGCAATGTGAAATCATCCAGACCAATTTAGCGTTGACACTTAGATAAACATGGGCCTATCTTATCTTATATGTCTGTGTGTTGCTTTTCATTGTTTATTTGATAGACAGACAGACAGACAAACAGATAGATAGATAAATAGACAGACAGATAGATAGACAGACAGACAGACAGACAGACAGATAGATAGATAGATAGATAGATAGATAGATAGATAGATAGATAGATAGATAGATAGATAGATAGATAGATAGATAGATAGATAGATAGATAGATAGATAGATAGATAGACAGACAGACAGAGAGGCATATAGACAGATAGATAGATAGATAGATGATAGATAGATAGATAGATAGATAGATAGATAGATAGATAGATAGATAGATAGATAGATAGATAGATAGATAGATAGATAGATAGATAGATAGATAGATAGATAGATAGATATATAGATAGATAGATAGGTCAGCTCTGCTTGCGCCAAGGGGTTTATAAAACATTTTCCACAATGTTTTCTGTAATAATCACCAAATCCACCAATTTTGTAATTAAATGTTGATCCCAGTTTATGAAATTATTCCCAAAATAAACCATAAGTCTTTAATCCGCATGTTTTAATTAATAGAGTCTCTTTGCTCGGTTTCCGTGTTGTCCTCACACAACGCAGCAGTGGCTGAATCAAAGTGATTATGTTGTTTTGGAAGCCAGTGTGTGGCTAAGTTGCTTAAAAACCTTCAGAAGACTGTTTCAAAGGAATTCCCTGGAGAACTGCAGCTGTGTGGTTCCCTAGAGCAGACCGGGTCGTGCAGGTTTCTCACAAAAGTACACTGATCCTTCTTAGTTCTGTAAATTATACTCTGGGGAGAAAAAAAAAAACATCTTTGGAAAAGTAAAGAATGTCATGAAATTCTTAAGATTCCAATCCACACAAACCTCTCAAGAACATGTCCAGGTTATATTTCATCCCAAAATCAAGAGTGAAAAATTAACTGATATTTTCCTTGAAGAAAATGAAGGACCATAATTTAGGACCATTATTAAAGTGGACCATGTTGGATCATTATTTTCAAGACAATTAAATACATTTTCTCCCTCAACAGACCAAAAAAAAAATCTTACTCTTATAACTGTAATGCAATATATGAAGACTTCAGATGCAAAAAAAAAGTCCATATGACAATTTTAATTTTTCTTTTTTTATTAGGCTCCTATGTTTAGGTTCAGAAATGCACTTTAATGGCAATGAAAAGACTGCTAGTCTGTAATTGAAATGCCTTATTTTCAAAAATGTCACTTAAAAACATAAAAATGCACATTTAATAGAAAAATGTCAGACGGGCTTAGAGTTTTATGCATGTATATATAAAATTTAAATTGTGAAGTATTTACATATGTATTTGATATTTGTTTTGCTGCCTTTCTATTGATTTAAATAAATAAAAAAATTTGTACAAATTATTGCATTGCAGAAATAAGTGTCACCATTGGGGAAAACATCCAGATGCATTACAGTTAAATTTTGCTCACATGCCATAAAATTAATGTCACAGTGCAAAACAAATAATGTTTTAAAAACAGTTTCAATTTAGATTTTTGGGGTGAAATATGACCCAGACATCTATTTGTGAGATTCCCCATAAAACATCTGTTTCTATCTTTCCGTTATGAGATTCATTTACCATGACTGAAATCTTGAGAAACGGCCTTGAGAAACACCATTCCCTTGAACATGTTATACCCAGTCCCCTGTTATAGTGCACTTGCACACCTCCCTTTGAGCTGGAGTCACGACCGACCCCGAGCTGCTGCAATGCAGCTTCCAGACCTCTTCTCCAATCACATCTGAGCGCAAAGCAAACTTCAGTCTACAATCTGAAATGTGTGTATACCGGTATGTGTGAGTGTGACTTCACACGCTTTCAGAGGCAGCCCTAATGTTTTGGGGGCTTCCCTCGCTCTGGGGGGAATATAGCACAGTCTGTTTTGAAATATGTGATCACTGGACTGTGTCCTCACACAGGCGCACAGACCCCATTATTAACTCATTAAGATTAATAATGTTTGGCGACGGGACACTGCTTCATTCTGTTATTGAATGCAACGGCCAGATTGCACATTTGTTTCTCGAGCAGTGCTGCAAAATGAGCTGATACGTCTTCTATTCAATGAGTTAAACACAGAATAACATAGATACAGGCGTACAATGAGGAAATCTTGATTACAATCACTTCATTAAAATCCACATGAAAGGCATCAGCAATTTACTTCAGTAATGTGACATATTTCAGAGTGAAACAGCATATTCATGCAGGATGGCACTTGATATATTATCCATCAGGAATTGATGTGGTGCTTTAAAGCCTGTGTTTCATATCAAAATGAAGCTGAAAGTGTTTTCCATGCAGTGAATTTATATTTATATATTTGGCAGATGCTTTTATGTACACTGCATTCAAGGTAGGCCTATATAAATATATCTATCAGCCATTGGAATCAAACCCATGACCTTAGCGTGCTGCTGTTTGAGCTACAATAATGATGCGTGAAGTAGGCCTACTTCTTTTTCAAATCTTTATCATTTATGCATTTGGTAGACACTTTTATCCAAATTGAATTATATGGAATTCAAAGTATAGATTTTATCAGTTAATGCATTCTCTGGGAATCAAACCCACAGCCATTATGTTTACAGGAAAAGACATAGGCCTACAAAGCTGTTTTCGCTATTAGTGCCATTAGTCACCTTCATTAAACTAACATTACATTGAATTACTGTTCATTTATCAGGCATTTATTCTAGAAAGGATGCATAACAACACCCTAAAACAATGTCTCAATAGCTATTTGGATAGGTTATTGGTTTTACCATTACTTTCTTACCTCAATGAGGTCTATAATGGAGAAAGCTATCCATTATATAGAAATGGCAGCTTTCTACCATGCTAACAATGCTAACTAGCTAAACACTGACCACTTGACCAAAATGGTTATCAAATTTGGTGGGAAAAAATACCAGAAATGTTATAAATGGAGTTTATATTTTTATGTCGACTTTATCCCATAGCCTAATTATAGAATCTCTCCACTGCATGTTTGAGGTTTTCAATCAAAATGTCAAATCTCTTCTCAGCTCATTCATTTTCAGCTGTTGAGTGTGTTTGAACATAAACTGCTACTGTTTCATAAAGATCATAATGTTTGAACTCTTTTTCATGTTTTATTCACTTTCATGACGTGTTGAGGTCAGTTTCTGTTGTTTTGTGCTTTCGTCATGATGCAATTGCCTAGTTCTTCACATTCTGTGCTCACTCTAGTGGACGACTACTGCAACTTCAACATATATGG